GTTTTTCTCCGGTACCGGGAACCGAACTCACGACCTTGCGCTTGCCAGGCAGGCGCTTTTGCCGCTGAGCTAAATCCCCAGCCCCTAAACTCACTTTTAAATGCAGCCTTCTTGGTTATTTTATTTCAGAAGTTTGATAATTTCAAGTTTTCATTATGCTTCATATTAGAATGATAGGTATTTGGGGAAGGTGGAATTCATATGGATTCAAAATTTCATTGTGTAAGTTGAAAAATTTTTGGAGATGAGTAAAGACTGATGTTTACACAAAAGTGATACCAACACAGGCTTGAAAATTGTAGAAAATGATACTTTAGGTTATGTGTATCTTATTGAAAGGAAGAATGGAAATAAAACACTGAGGATATTTTTATTTAAAGGAAGAAATTAACAAAGTTAATAGTACAATTGAGATTCCTCTTGAGTAGTGGAAGGTCCAATATCTTTTGTGAATATTCATTTTATCTCTTTTCTTGAATTTCTATTCAATTTCAGAAGTCATTAAAGATTGGGATAACATGGACATGGACCAATTTTGGCAGTTAATATTTGTGTGACTCCATGATCATAGTATATAACCAGTTCCTGCCACTTTTTATTTTGATTGCTCCAATGTTTTTTTGCTACTGTGTCTCTTCATTTGTGGTTGTCTGAAATAGGAAGCCCCTAGCTGGTATTGTTGATGTCAGTGCTCTTACTTTATGCAGAACCTTCACTGGTCCTCTGGAATGTGAGAGGCGTGGGTTTGTAGATTTTGGACGTAACTAGTAGAGACATCACTTACTACAGGAAGTCCCCAACTTACAAACATTTTAGTTGCAAACATCCACAGGTGTATGGTAGAAAATTCAATTTATCAGATGCAAATGAATCTGACTTATGAACATTCTCCCAGAAAGGAATTCATTTGTATGCAACTGGGGGACTTATTTAACTGTTAAAGGGAAAGATGATAGAGGAAGGACTGCTGGTGCCATTTCTTTCCATCATGAACTCACAAGAAAGTTTGGATAGTGAAACATATTAATAGCATTGTGCACTGTTTTCACTACAAGAGTTTTTAGTTTTATACACTTGGGTGTGATAAGATTCCCAAATTCTCAAAGTTTTCATTTAATTTACACAGGTTATGCTTCCCCCAAACATCCAGTCCACAGTAGCAGATTTTGGGTGTCTGTAAACTATTTCCTGAGCACCTCAAAAGGGAGGAGATTACTTTGCAGGATGCTGATGAGGATGAGCATGAGGATGGAAGTAACCTAAGCATCATGAACTAATACTGAGCGATTCCTGAATGACAACACCTGAGATATCAGTTCATGTACTTTTCCTTTCTAACAGCACTATGTTTCTCAAGTATAAGAGAGACATATTAATATTTTTCAAGAATGAAACGGGCACACTATTTTTGTGTAATCTATTGTAGGCTGTTGTGTAGAACAGGGTGAAGAACTGTTTACATATGCCTATTTGATATCACACACATGGCATCTTGCCAGCTGAATCCTGGCAGTTAGAACCTTTGATAATGTAAGCACCTATTTCTTTTTCATGTCTCTTTAGGAGGTGATACCTTGTTTACTGTGCTCTACTCTTTGGGTGTTCCAAGTAAATCACAGAGGCAAGGGAGAGACACCTGTTGCATTCACTGTCAAAAGGATTCCTGAGATCAGAGGTGATGCTAATAACAGAGAAAGTCCACTGTGGTTAGTACTGATCACATTCTTCTGTTTTTGTTTTTTCAACACACCTTGCTGTGTAGTTGAGGATGGCACTGAAATCACTATGTAAGCTATCCTGGCCTCAAACTCATGGCAATCCTTCTGCCTCAACTCACAGGTGCTAGGAGTATAGGCGTCTGTCACCACACACGTCTTAGTACTGATCTCGTTCTCGGCCTGCATTGAAAACTTTCCTTAAAAATGTTCGTATTGTCCTCCCATCTTTTATTCATTCCTAATATCAGCCATAGAAGTCAACTCAGGGTTTGACCATTCTTTCTCAGGAAATTGGACTTTGAAAAATTTTTTTTCATATTAATTTTCATTAGTATATGTTTGTGCAACATAATGATTACTCACCATTCATGGAGAGTGTGAGTGCTTGTGCATAAGATTTACTGATTCCTTTTTCATCCACTTTCCCTCCTCTGTCCCTCCTCCCTCCATCTCTTGGTCCCAAAATCCTTTCCAAAAGATCTAGCTCTCTATTTCCTGCTAGTTATCTTTATTTTATTTATACGCTTGTCTTCCTATAAGAGAAACCATGTGAATGAGTTTAATGTTCCTCTGACATAAATGTAATTTCAAGCTCTAGATCTTTGCTGAACTCTTTTTGATCCTTGAGAAACAAAGTAAAGGATTTGTGGATCAGATACAGACTGACAATTTATTTTTGAATCCAGTTTCCATCCCTTATAATTTCTGTAACACATGGCAAATTTTTTAAATCTCTGAAACTTAGCATTCACGTCCAAGTTGATTTCTTCTTGATTCAACTGCACTGATATGAATTAAACAGATAATGTGTGGTCCTCCTGTTATTAATAGGTTATGGATGTGTAATATAAGGCTATATGCAATTTAGGTATTCTTAGAACCCATGATATAAGATTCTGTTTTATGCTTTTAAAATGTAATCTGGGATCCAAAATTGTCATTTTATTTTTTTTCTGTAAAGTGGCATTATTTTTTGTCTATGTATAAATATATTCATGTATTTGAGAAGATCGATTGAATCTTTCATGTCAGATTCCCTGGATCATGTCTCTTTCTGGACACATAGGAAGAATTAAAAATAAAAATCCTTGTTAAATATTGATTAGACTCTTACTTGGATCTCAATGTGTAGGCATAATTAGTGTAGTGTGGTGCTTTCCAGCGTGCAACTCACATCCCTCGTGGCAATGTCCTGTAGAACTAGAGCCAAAGTAAATGCCTCTTGTTTTTGTCTATGTTAGGAACACACTGCTCTTTGTAGTACTCAGCTATATAAAAAAAGACAAACTAGAGGCTTTTATAGGTAAATGGATGCAACAAGAGACCATACTCTTAAATGAAATAAACTGGACATAATTCTTGTGTAAGAAGAAGTAAAGAGGTCTTTGAATTGGGCCATGTCACCTCTGAGCAAGGGAATTCTCTTTAACAACCCAAGCACACATTTCACTGCTTTCCCCCTCTAGTAACAGACTCTTTTCTCAAATACCAAGAAAAAAAAGTGCCCTGAGGAGGCACCGCAGTAGAATAACCTGTTCTCAGGCCCTGTGATGCTTTATTAGGAACTATAAATTGGATAAATGTGAAAAAGTAAACTTTTGGTTCTTTAATTTCAGTACACTGAGTCATATTATTAAGTAGTTTGTGTGCTTAATTCCTCATCCAATTTGATAGTAGAATGGTTTGGGATGTCAGACACTGACAGGAGAAGGAGACATAGAGTGTTTTTGAAATGTGTACAAAATTGAGAGTGGGAAAATTTTTTAAAAATTTATTTTAAGAATAAAAAAAGGAAAACCTATTAGCAGACATCCATTCACAAAACAACATAAGAACAATACAAACAGTACTGAATTACAGACAAAGTGTTAGGAAATTAACAATGGTTGTTGTATTACATATTGATATCTTCAAAGTGGATTCTCAGGAAAACAAATAGGGACATGCAAGACTGATCAAGTAAGTAATCATTAACTGTTTCTTTCAGCAAAGCAATAAAAGTCAGTAGTAAAACTATGTTAGCTATCCTGCATATACATATATACTTCTTTCTTTTCTCTGTTCCTTCACCCCAGTTGCTCTTTACTTTTGAGCATTTTCCTTTCATTTCACAATGTCTGTCATACCTCCTAATTTTTATTC